GACAACAATTCTAAAATGGAATAAGAGTTAAATTTTATATAAAGCAGATGCTGACCTATTATGAACAAGCCTAATAATCATCTTATTATTTAGACCTGGGTTGGAGAATCTATAACCTATACTCTAGATTTAATTCATTTTATTTAACTCATGACTCAATTCTGAAAACAGACTTACTACCATAGCTCTTTTAATTTAATAGGATTTCTTTTCGGTAAATTTAGTTTCTGAAAACATCTTAAAAATTAAGTTCACTAACGAGAAGCATTATGGCATAGAACTGCTTATGAATTCTCTTGCCTCTTCTCACTAAGTGTGAGTTTTGTCAAGTGAGACAATCTCTGAGATTCACTTTCTTCAACTATAAAGAGATTAAAATTCTGATTAGCACTGTAGTAAACCACACACATTGATTTCATCTCTTGTATAAAACACTCTAAAATGACACTAATGGAATTTTTTTTTTTCCTAAGTTATAAATACAAAGCGAGGAAGAGGGTACAGATTAGAGGATAAGAATTTTCAGAAGGGTTTAGAAGGCAAAGGCAGATGGAGGCACAGTAATTGACCAGAGAAAGCTGCTACCCTCATGTCTGCAATGGGAAACTCTGATCATAAGGCAAACAATCCACCCCACGGACAACCTGAAAAAGCTCTGAGAACCCTAGGTACCATTTAGGGCAGTGTAAGACAAGGGATTAAAAGTGAGGAATATGGTTAAAACCCTCCAAATGGAGTACTTGAGCCCCAGGGCTCTTCCCCCATCGCAAGCAGTTAAATGATCCTTCCAACCTTCTACCACTTCCACCTCTCAACCAAATACAGAGAGAACATCTCTGAAGATATTGATACTTTTGGACAGACTGAATTTGAGGTAACAAAGGCCATCATCCATATGGAAATGTCTGAAACATCGACAATCGAGTCTAGAGCTCAAGAGGGATGGCAGGTAGGGATCTAAGAGCCAAAAAATGAAGCAATAAGATTGAAAGGATTACTTCAGAGGACTGAAGCGAAGATAAAAAAGAAAATTTCTGGAAAGGAGACAAGACTTAAAAAATCAAGTATCCCAAATGATTAAATAAGAACTAAGAAAAGGTCATTGAATGTGGTTAGCAAAAAGTCACCCGTTTCATGGAAGGACCTTCACTCATTTAACAACTACTTATTGAGTCTTTATGACATGCATTCCACTCACATTATTAGGTTTCCCATGCCTGAGGGAACTAGGAGAGAGACAGGAGTCAGATGAGAAAGCATTAAGAATTAAACAGTGATTCTGACAGACTTTCTTAAGTAATTTTGGGGTAAAAGGTAGGAGTGAAGTGAAATGACATACTGAAAGGAAGCCAGACCCACAAAAGGAAAAACCAAATTGTGTTTTAATTTTATGTATTTAGAAAGAAACAGAACAAGCCAGTGAAATGGAGGGATGAACACAGTCAAAGCAAGGTCCAAGAAAAAGCAGGTAGTAAGAGACAAATATCATTTGCCAGGGACTTTAGGGAGTTTAGTCTTGAAAGAGAGAAAGGGTTGGATATTCTTCTGAAGTAGGTAGAAGGGAGCAAGGCATTATAACATGCCTTCCTCTCTTAAATAACAATAGACATGAATGAAGCAAGAGTCTAAGGCTACAACAGAAGACCGCATAGAAAAATAAAGGTAGAATGTGGACTAAATAACTGGAAGTTTTGCCAGCTAGATATAAAAACCATACAAAAACATATTATAGAGTCTACAGCCATGCCACCCTGAACACACTTGATCCCATCTGATCTCGGAAAGTAAGCAGGGTCGGGCCTGGTTAGTACTTGGATGGAAGACCACCTAGGAAGACTAGGTGCTGCAGGCATGTAAAAAAAAAAAAAATATATATATATATATATATGTATGTATATATGTTTATGTACACATATATACATTACGGTAAAATGGTGGATGCAAGTGTTAGAAACAGCTACCAATGTTAGCAAAACAACAAAATTTGTAGTCATGTGCTGCATAACATTTTTGTCAACAATGGACCATGTGTATGACAGTGGTCTCATAAGATAATGGAGCTGAAAAATTCCTATCGCCTAGAGGCATAGCCCTCATAATGTTGTGGTGCAAGGCATTACTCAGCTGTTTGTGGTGATGCTGGTATAAACAAACCTACTGTGCTGCTGGTTATATAAACACAAAGCACATATAATTATGTACAATACATAATATTTAATAATAGTAAATGACTATATCACCAGTTTATGTATTTACTACATTTTTATTGTTAGAGTGTACTTTTTCTACTTATAAAAAAAGAAAGGTTGCTGAAAACAGTATACCATGTTATTAAACCAGCAGCAACCTCATACATCTGGTGTTTACTGAGTCTCCTGATTGCATCGTCTTCTCTTGTGCTTGATTTAATCTCACGTTGTTTTGTACAGTAAGATGCTGTACAGGCTTGCAGCCTAGAAGAAATAGGCCACACCATACAGCCTAGGTGTGCAGAAGGCTATATCATCTAGGTTTGATGTTCGAAAATGACAAAAATCACCTAATGAAGCATTTCTCAGAATGTAACCTCTGTTAAGTGGCACATGATTGTATAGTATATAAGTGATATTTTAAGAGCTAAGAATCTAATGACAGTCAAAGATATTATAAAGCTTCTATACTCGCTAGTTGTTTGAAAAATAATTAATTTTTGCAGCTTAAACTCATAACCAATCTTCAACATCTTGATTTGGTATCTCAAAGTCAAATACAAAAAGAAATGTATAAGAATATTTGTTATATATAAGCCTGTTATTTTTCAGACTCAAGAGGAAAACTACATTTTTCTTATCACAGATGGCATTATTATCAAATTCAGGTTAATAAGATGGAAGCATGGCAAAAATATCACATTACAGTAGAGTGCTATGTTTCAGAAAACTTCATTAGAAAGAAAACAAATGCATGTTTTATGACACCTGCTAAATATAGAAAACTTAAATCAAGACTATTTAAAATACAAACTCATAAATATTGTTGCTAATCCCTTCTCCCCGTCCCTAAGTTACGGGGCTGACAATTGGTATTTTCTAAATACCTATTTTTGATGCCTGACAGCAAAAGGTCTCTGAAGAAATCTTATCAGTAGTTTCCAAAAGATAAAAAAAAGGTTACATGAGCCAAAATGCTCAGGCTACTCCAGTTAGACTGCCATGGTGCCCTTTCTAGTACAAGCTAACTGGACTGCCCATGTGTAATTAATCCTATAGGCCTCAAATCATAAGAAAAACAGTCTCATGACTGTGAGCCATATTAATTTAGGGACCCAGATCCCAAACTGAAATTACCTTGGACACTCGAAACAAGATATTAAGAATGGATGGAAAAAGATAATCATGACGACTCAGCCACTATATTTGTCCATCATTTATATTTACTGAATCTACAAAGATGAGACTTTCTAAATGAAATCTCTGCATGCAGAAAGTAACACTACTGGAAAATAAAGTCTCAAGGACAAGTTTGAATACTGAAAGTTTTTTATGGTGAGATTACAGGTGAAGTACACTATCAGTTACAAGCCGAGTAGAGAACCAAGTGTAGACCAAAAGAGGAGAAGGGAACAAAGAAGGTTTAGTAAAGATCACGGGTGGGTACACAGGCAATGAGAGATTGAGAGAGAGAATGACAGGAGCTGGCAGCTAAAGAAACTTCGAAGTTTGAGATCTCACAAGTAACATACTTTCTGTGAAGCAATTATTGGGCAAGGTTATATGCATAGCATTACACATGAAAATCTTGAAGTAAGGCAACTTGAGACATGTAGAAACTGAAGGAGAAAGCTACAGAGCTCATGCAGTGATACACCAGCAGGCTGGCTAACAACTGGCTGCAAAAGAGTAGGTTCAAGATGTTATAAAACCTGGGAGCAGGATTTTGTAGCCAAACTCACAAAGGAATAATGAAAGATGAAAGGAAATAATGATTTTTTTCTTTTTAATCAGGCCCTGATTTTCTTTCTAAAAAAAAATTTTTTTTTTTTTAATCAGGCCCTGATTTTCTTTCTAAAAAATATTTATATTGTTTACACTGATAGGAGAGGCAGGACTAAAAAATGAAAACAGCTTTATCTTGACCATATTTAATGCCTCTGAACCTAATATAATATTTAAAAGTGCGCCATATCAGTAATGACAAATTCAGATGACTTTTTGGTCCTTCCACTGACCAAACTAACTTACCCTGAAATTCCTGGAAGGTACAAGCTTTCTCTTTGTTACAAATCATGTAAAAAGAAAGTAACTCAGACCAAAGTCTATGAATGTGGGACAGCTACCAAAACTTGATCACATATCTGGCCTCACATCATCAAACAACACGAACATCTAATTTACAGAAAATCATTTATGAGTAAAAAGAAATGTTACAAGGTTTAGTGATTTTCAAGGGTTTTTAACCACACTTATCAGTAACTAGGTAGGTGTGTAGCTTATACACTTTTCATGCTTGTCCTGTAGACGCAAAGAAAGCCAGTTCATATATGAGCTAACCAAACATATCATTGGATACCAATGACATGCAAGAACCTGTTATTAACTTCTACCCCCAAAAACACTATTAGTTGTCAGCGGCATCTGAGAAAAGTCTACATATATCAAAGAACTTCCTAGGGAAAAAGAGATTGTGGAAGTAAGGTAATCCAATTTACAGATTACAAAACTAAGGCACAAAGAAGTTAAATGCCTCAGCTGAAGGCCACACAAAGGACAAGCTGGTGAGTGGCAAAGCTGGGATAAGAATACCACACCCTCTCAACTCTCTCAGTGCCTTTCTCATCCCACCTCCACCCACCAGCCCCCCAAACTCAAGATGCAAACGTCTGATATTGCTGATCTGGATTTCCACATAAAGTAATAATATGGTGCTTTTTCTGGAATGTAAAATAGATGACAGAATCTAAAAGAATGAACAGAAATTAAGAAAAATATTTGCTTAATATAAAATAATATTTAAAACTGTACCTTTACTGCTTCTGATGAAAGTACATTTTCCTTTTTCTGAATTGTGCTCAAGGGCTCATTTTCAACACTGAAAAATAAAAACCAGTTTCTTTTGAAATTAAAATAGAATTATTAAAATCATACAGTTTTTGTGTTTAAAGCAAAAATTGACAGGTCCTTTACCTGCAATGCTCAAGAGATTAATAAACAAAATGTTCGAATATGCTGACTTGAAAAACACATTAAAAAATGTTCATCCAGAAAAGGGGCAGGGATTAAGATGTACAAATTGCCAGTTATAAAAAAAAGCCACAGACATGTAAAGTACAGCATAGGGAATGTAGTAAATAATTTTGCAATAATTATGTGTCAGATGGATACCAGAATTATCAGGGGGATGACTTCATTAGTTATATAAATGTCTAAACACTATATTGTACACTTGAAAATAATATAATTTTGTATGTCAACTGTAACTGAAAAATTTTTTAAATGCTCATCCAGGCTTCAGAAGTTTTTGTTGAGTCCACTGTGTTATATTTTCTTGTATTGATAATCAGCATCACAGTAATGATGTACTTGAATAAAGGGGCACTGATGTACAACTATTAACATACTAGCTTTTATTTATATTGAGGTTCTACATACTCTGATCTTTTTAATGCCTACGCTGAGTGTTATTTGGAATAACTTCTACTTGGAAAAATTTTTATAAACATATAGGGTCATCTAGCAAGTCTGAGGAATACTCAAAATAGATGCAGGCTTATCTAGCCCCAGGTGTGCTCCAGATGGCACCCTAAGAATCTAATTTCCCAGACAGTCAATTCTAATTGTTTTGTCTGGATTCCCTTCACAGATGCCCTATAAAAATGGCATAATAAACTACTTTGCCTATTAGACATTTCAGCTCTAAAATTTATATTTCTATGTTCATGTTACCTTATTTTCATACTTTCGTAATCCTAGATAAATTGAGTAGCTCTACTCTAAAAAGTATCATGACTGTCTTGATATATTGGGGATTGTGCTTGGCCCTGAGGATCTATGAACTAGTAGGTCAGGGGCTTTGTAAAACTCAAGCTAGTAGGTGAGACTGATATATAAACAAATACTTCAGTTTAGTACAAGTTATAAGTGCTGAATGAACAAAAAGCTATGGAGCACAGAGGAATCAAGGAACAGCAATGCTGCCTGCTCAGCAAGGTGCCCACAGAGGAGGTACAAAGGCAGGAGGTAATACAGAATATGGCATTCTCAGTAAATCACGTTTTGTTTTTAATATAAGACTGGAGCACAGGAACTTGTGACAGGCAGAGGTAATTCAGCTAAAGATGAGAATGAAACCAGAGGTTAGTGGATGCCAGACTATGAAGAACCTGCCTGGCCTGTTATAGAATTTGATCTTTGTCCTACTAGCATTTAGGCAACAGACAAGCATAAAGCAGGAGGATGACAAAGCGGAGAAAAACATCTGGAATCATGGAACTTGGTGGCAGAGGGAATTGAAAGAAGATGGTTAATAGCTTCAGATCAGATAAAGGCCACCCAAAGCAAATGGGATGGACGTGATTTATGCTAAATTTTCCTTTCATCAAATCCAGTTCAATTATGCAGAGTATCCAAGAAACCAATGGCAATGATCAAAAGACAAAGGCAGAAAGATCATGAATACCTGGAAAATAAAATGGATTAAAATTTCATTAAGTAAGTCTCAGACTCTATACAGAAATAGGTAAACCATCAAGATATAGCCATGCTCTTAAGTCTTTTAAAATGTCAGTAAGAAAAGCAAGCATGTAAACAAGATACATATATTAAGTGTGTGTTTAACACATGGAAATTCTATGAGGAGAAATGAGTGACGAAAGTAGAAAATAATATTGTACAATATAGAATTGTAACCTATATACATATGCATAGCTATAAAATAAGAATGTCTCAAATGGTTGTTATTTCTGAAGTAAGTGGATTCTTATTTCTTTTTCTTTTCTATTTTACCAGCCTTATCTTTTGCCACAAGGTTGTTTATAATTCAGTTTGTTTAATTAAATGTCAACTGACAGTGGTCTCCTTAATCTAAATCAAAGAAAAGAGACCAGGCAAAATGCATGCAAAAAGAGCCTGTAATAAAAATTTGGGGTATAATCAAGAATAATTCTGACCTTGATGATTTTATAAGTGTATTCTCTAACTACAATCTATTTTGAATGACCTACCTAAAATTTATCTACAATCATTTTAGTCTTCTAGTTCTTGCTTTAAGATTCCTAAAATTTTAGATTTTAGAGTATTTATAGAGCTTCCTATAAACTTACTGCCTTAGTGAGATTGTTAATGAAAATGATAAAAGTTTCTTTTCCAATATAAAAGCTCTGCAAAAAATGTAGCTCTGCATTAAGGCAGAACTCTGTATTTTCAAGTAGCTATTAATTACTTCCATGCTAAAAACACACCAAATGCCAGAAAAACACTGTTGTGTAAGTTGGCACATAAGTACATTGTATTGAGCAAACTGAAAAGTTTAAAGCTGAAATCACAAGAAATACCTGACACTTCATAAAACTTTCTAAAATACATATCTTATGTTTAAGTTTCATGAATCTTATTGCTAAACAAAAATTTCAAAATGTGTTGAGTTTTAAAGCAAACATATTTGAAAATTTTAGTTTAGCTATAAAAATCACTGTTTCAATGAAAACTTTCCCCACTTCTTTTCTAGATTACTAGAGTCGCTTCTAAATTGGTCTCTGGCATCTTTGGGATTGCTCTGCTTCAATCTATTCTTCCTGGTCAGTTACCATTAATCTGATCATGATATTCTCCTATTAGCAAAAATATTTCAGCAATTCTCTTATCAGCTGATGAATAAAATGAAGAGTTCTTAGTATAGATAACTGGCCCTAGATATACCTGTTTCATAGAACCATTTCCCATTCTTAGAATATGCCATGTTCATATGCCAGCAAACCACTTTCTTCTCCTGCCCGTAATACCCTTCCCCACCCTACCCTGCCCAACTTTTAATCCTAAACAATTTAGTTCTACCTTAACTTGTATTTTTTTTGTGCTCCCACTGCACCCGGCAGTATGCCTCATACATTTCTGTTCTTTAACACAATGGCTGGTTGTCCATTTGTCTAAGTAGAATTCGAACCCATTAAATTCAGAAACTACATCATTCATATCTGTATCCCAGAGCCCATCATTGTGCTTGGCACTGTGAAGGTACTCAAATATCATTTGTTAAATGAATAAATAGATAATCGGTATCAAATAGTTTCTCGGTACACGATACTTTTTTCTTAACAAAGTAGTACACACGTGTATACACATACACACACACACACGTCTCTTGAAAGAATATACCATTCGCTTTCATTCTGCATCATCTTTCTCTAAAGGTTTAAGGACAAAGTGGGGCTGGGGGAAGAAAAGTGCTCAAGGGACAAGGGACAAGGTCATTTCGAGTTAATTAAAAAAAACAAAACACCAAAAAATTAGAATGGAGTAAAGATACTCAAAACACAATGAATTCTTAGATAATAGCTCAGTAAGAAAAAAAAATTAACAGAAGAGACTCAAAAGGTTTGGAGTGTTACTCTGAAAAATACAAGAGAAAGAGAAACATGTTCAAATTCAGACAATCTCATACCGTATGAAAGATGCCTAGCTGTTCCGATTCTCACAATTTTACCCCCTTTGGGACCTGGGAATAGTTTAATAGCAGTATTTTTAGAAGGCACACATTTTGCTCATGGCAGGGAGTAAGGGCTAGGCACAAATAAAACTACCTTGCATTTCTAAATACCCTCATCTATTTAGCTAACATAAGTTTGAAAATTAATCTTTCAAAATAGCCCAGCTAAATATCAAGGTCGAAGTAATACAAAAGCTCCTCAGTTTTCAAGCAACCATATTTAGACTGTAGCTGAAAACCACGAATCCAACATACAGCCATAAAGCATGTACTTACTTTATGCCAGACATAAAACAAACCTCTGGGCCATTAAAAAAAAAAAAAAAAAAGAGCACATTAACATTCTAGAGTTCAAATAATTTACACAGAAGAGAGTTCCTATCCTGTTGCTTAAGACATACTCTTAGTTTTTATTAAATTCTAACAGGATTCCATAACTCAAGCAGATAAGCAGCAGAAAAAAAGCACAAGTACGTACAGTCACTCACCAGGTATGTACTGCATACTTGGTGCTAGGGGTGGAGCAGTGAACATACCATACAAGATCCTCACCCTTATACCTTCAGAACCCCTTTCTAGATGCACCACAATCATCTGGGCAATTGTGTTTCTGAAACAGATTCTGGGGCCTGATGGTCAAGGATTGGAATTGGAGTGAGGCCCAGGAATCTACATTTTCAACAACCGACTCTCCCTTCCCTAGACCGCTCTGATGCAGGTGGCCTGCAAACCACATTCTTGATAATCTGGTCCAAGAGACTCTATATTCAGCTGAAACCAACAACTGAAAGTTGTACAGGGAAGAGAAGGATCTGATCAGAAGGCTCACTACTTAATATTTCAATGTGTTAAGTAAGTGTTGCTACTTAAAGGCTCTGTAGAGTCTACAGCCATGCCACCCTGAGCACGTCCAATCCCATCTGATCTCGGAAGCTAAGCAGGGTCGGGCCTGCTTAGTACTTGGATGAGACAAGACACACTACAGCCAGATGCGACGAGCCGGCACCCTTCGCCCACTACTGATCAGCTCCGAGACCCCCCC